CGACGCACTGATCATGGGTGTCAATCTCATGACTGTGAAACATGGCAGAAAGAGAAAGAAATATGTAGGATCAAAGTGGAAGAGGAGGTATCTTTCAGCCAAGCCAGGAAACTGTATGATGACCGCCATGAGCCCCCTGTTCTCAGAAATTATGCTGCCACTGTGCGCACTCCACATATTACTGGAAGGCAGGAGGATGAGGAGTTGAAAGGAAAGGTAGAAAAGCTAGAGAAGAAGGTAGATGAGATGATGACATTGCTCAAAAAACTGACTGAGTCGCAGATCACAGAAAGTACCTCTAAAGGTGCTGCTAGTACAACAGACACAGTACGTGTAAAGGAAACCCAGAGGGATGTATTACAGAGATCGAGAGGTGATGAGACAATGGGAGATGCTACAACAGACAGTGATGAAGGGGAGGTGAATGATACGAGGAAAACTCATGAAATTACGCAACCCATGGAAAGAGATGAGGGAGACGAAATGATTCAGACATGTGACTTGACACAGACAATAGACACAGTGAAAAAGACCAAAGATGCTGCCAAATGGCAGACTGTACAAAGGCAAAAGGGTTTAGGACGAGGAAAAGGCAAAACCAAACCACAGGTATCTGCTTGTCCAGATACCATCCCCCCCGCTCCCCCGCTTGTGAGAGCAGGCATATCCAATGAAAGAGCAGGGGACAAACCCATGACAAGAAAGCAGTCATGGGTAGATATTTCACAAGCGGCATCAGACAACTGATTGGAGTGAATAGTATATTCACTAGTAGCTAGTTAGTTTTTCTTTTCTTTAAAAAAAACAAAACAAAAAAAAAAACAAAACAAAAAACAAAAAACAAAAAACAAAACAAAAAAACAAAACAAAAAACAAAAAAACAAAACAAAAACAAAAAAACTTCTCTAAACTCTAGAGGCAAACACATACTACACCATGGTGAAAATAATGCAATGGAATTGTAGAGCATTGATTGGAAAATGGGCTTCTGTCAAACCCTTCCTTATGACCCAAACATGTGATGTTTACTGTTTACAGGAAACTCACTTCCTTCCATCAGATGAATATGATTTTAACTTGCCGAATTACACAAGGTATGATGTTTTTGGCAATGATGAAAGGAGACAGGGAGGTGTGTGTATATATGTTACTAACAGGATTCCTCACAGACTGATAACTGTGAACACCAACTTACAAGCTGTGGCCTGCTCCATACGAATGGGCAGCTCAACCATGCACATCTGTTCTCTTTACCTACCCCCCACTGAACCTTTACAATATGAAGAGTTGGAAAGCCTGATTAAGCAGCTCCCGGAGCCCATGGTTATCTGTACGGATGCCAACAGTCGTCATATGCTTTGGGGTTCGGATCGATGTGACCGAAGGGGAATGATATGGGAACGTTTGATCAGAACTTTTGGACTCAATGTTCTCAATGATGGTAGTGCTACTAGAATTGATGATTACACTGGGCTGTACTCCCATATCGATCTGACAGTATCTTCAGGATCAGTCGCCCCCCACGCAATGTGGATGACTGAAGATGATCCTCATGACAGTGACCATTTCCCAATTTATATAACACTGAATAATGTTGTTGACCCTTCACAGGACTCAGACATTTTTTATGGATGGAACTTAAATAAAGCAAACTGGAATGAATTTAGAGAAAAGTGTACACTCAACTATGATGATCAACTGGGAGTAGAAAACTGCAAAGTTATGACAGACCTTATTGTCTCAGCAGCAACAGAGACAATACCTAAGAAAACTGGACATGCAAAGTACTGCTGTCCTTGGTGGACAGATGAGTGCAAGAAAGCGATTACAGAACGGAAAAGGCTATTAAACCGATTTAGGAGAAATAGAGAGGTCCCAGGACTATTACTTGAATATAAAAGAGCAAAGGCCAAAGCCAGACAGGTTATTAGGCAGGCCAAGAAAGACTCCTGGCTTAAACTCCTTAGCCTCTTCAATTACCAGACCCCCTTACCCAGGTTGTGGGAGATACTGAGGAAATTCACAAGGAAAACGAGATACAACAGACCTTTACCCGTACTCAGTATAGATGGACGTATTATCGATGATACTTTTGAAGTTGGGAATACACTTGGACGATACTTTGAAAGCATCTCCTCGCAGGAGAACTACTCAGAACATTTTCGTACACGAGTTGATGACATTATTAGAACTATGCCTGATTTCCGTTCTAACAATGCTGAATGCTACAATGACTTATTCACCTTACCTGAACTGACAAACGCCATAAAACGATGTGGAAATACGTCTATAGGACCGGATAGACTGCATTACGCTTTTTTTAAACATATGGGGAATACTCAATACGGAGAACTTCTTAAGATGTTTAACGCAGTCTGGACGGAAGGTATTTTTCCGACAGACTGGTCACATTCATACGTGGTCCCTATCCTGAAACCTGGGAAGCCGGCTTCCAACCCTCAGTCATACAGACCAATTCAACTTACCTCATGCATGGGTAAAATCATGGAAAGAATGATAGCTGAAAGGCTCAAATGGTATACCGAAAACAAAGGAGTGCTATCGAAATACCAGTGTGCCTTCAGGAAAGCACGATGTACGGTCGACCACATTATCAGACTGGAATCAGAGATACGACATGGATTCCTCTACCACAAATATACGTTGGCAGTATTTCTGGATTTTAAAAGTGCTTACAATTTAGTGTCTACCCCTGCCCTCCTTCTAAAGATGTATACATTGGGCTTCCGTGGAAGACTGATGAAATTTGTGGAAAACTACCTGAATGGAAGAACCTTCCAGGTGAAGTGTGGTCGATTATCACAGATTTTTGAACAGGAGAATGGAGTCGTCCAAGGGGGAGTTGTTTCGCCGATACTTTTTAACCTGATGATAAATGATATTTTTGAAGGTATTTCAGATGAGTTCTCCTATGCTATGTATGCAGATGACTGTGCAATTTGGTTACAAGGAAGGCATCTTCCACAACTAATAACAACCATGCAAAACGCACTTGATTCCTTGGTGGAGTGGGCAGATACGTGGGGATTTACTTTCACGCCTACCAAATGTAATGCAGTGATATTTGGACGATATATGAAAAGAACTGAATTAGATCACATTTCCCTACTACGGATTAAAGACGAACCAATTGCATACTGTGACAATGTAAAGTTTCTTGGAGTGTTTCTGGACTCCAAGTTAAACTTGAACAAACATATCCAGTACGTTCGAGCCAGAGCATTGAAACGCATTCCCATATTGAAATGCATATCCGGACGTGAATATGGTGCCGACAGAACCATTCTGTTGAGGATGTACAAATCCCTTATACGTCCCATCCTAGAATATGCCTGTCAGGTCCTTGATGGACCAGCAAACAATGCAGTGCACTCCCTTGAAAGCATACAGAACGCGTGTTTGAGGGTAGCTACAGGAGCATTGCGGACTTCTCCGGTAATGGCACTGCAGGTTGAGTCACATGTACCGCCACTCTTCCTACGACGTTGGGAGATGACTGTCAGATATGCCCTAAAAGTGACAGGATACGATGAACATCCATGTCGAGACTACATTGACGGGACCTTTACTCTACCTGACCTAGAGTGGGGATATATTAAGCGAATATCTGGATTCCCCTTCTATGAACGTCTGCAACATGTCGCCCGAAACCTTCGGATAGTTCTTCCCAATGATGTGACGCTTAAAGCCAGTGCTTACCCTGTATGGCAGCGACACCAGTGTGACGCACATAAACTAATTGAACAGCAGAAGGCTAATTTGGAGAGATGTGATGTTTTGCAGGCCTTTGAAGAGTTTAAGGGTACACACCCTGGATATCATTTCCTTTACACTGACGGTTCGAAAAGTGAAAGGGGCGTGGGATGTGCTTTCGTGCACGGAAACATGCAGTATAAAACGAAACTGAAACGTGACTACTCGATTTTTACAGCTGAGTGTGTTGCTTTGCTCCAAGCTGTACATTATGTCCAACATAACCAACTGGCAAACAGCGTCATTTGTACCGACTCCCTCTCGCTGCTATTAGCCCTGCAAACAAATGAAAGTAACCACCCTATGGTTACCGACATTAAGGATACTTTGCATTGTCTGAAGGAACACAATCTGCGGTGTGTAATCCTTTGGGTCCCTGGACACTGTGGAATCTACGGGAATGAACAGGCAGACCTTCAAGCAAAACGGGCTGTTTTACTAGATAGGACCGAGGAGGAGTATGAAGTGTCTGTGCAGGAATATGTGTCTTTTATCCGTGCAGCATGTTTTGATCAATTTAATAGCATGTGGGTAAACGATACTCGCCAGACAAACCTTAAGAGCATAAAGCATGTTACGGGGAACTGGGTGTCTTGTCGCCGGAATGTCCGACGTGAGGAAATAGTGTTATGTCGACTGCGGCTTGGACACACCAGAATCTCGCACTCGTTTATTATAGACCGTGATGTGCGACCAGAATGTAGTACCTGCGGCCAGTACGTGACAGTGCAACACATGTTAATTGAATGTCCGAACTACGCTGACCAAAGAAGACATCTCAGTGTACTGTGCCGGCACCATGGTGCGCCGATGGAGCTGGGTACTCTACTTGGTGACTCATACCCTGATATTACTGACGCTTTGTTTAAGTTTCTACACGATAGTGAACTGTTTAAGAAAATTTAAGATTATATTGTTTATTGTATGTTTATGTTATGTGGCTGTGATATGTACAGTCTTTACCGTTTTGTTTATTTTAGTGCAAGTCTCTGTTGTTGTCTACTATGCTGTGTATGAGTGATAATGAGCTGTGATGTATGCTGTGAAAGTATGATATGGATGAGAATGAGATGAATGAATGAATGAATGAATGATGAATGACAGTGAATGGAAAACATGAGAGTGGAGTAGAAGGAGTAGAGATTTATAACAATGGTAAATAGCTGCTACTAACTCGGTGATTTGCTTCCCCCTCCCTCCCCACCCGCCACGGCACTCGCGTACACTAAACCGCTACAATATATCGGTACTGACAGTCGCACACACACATATTCAGACTATATCAGTACCGTGCACAATCAGTGTAGACCACATTGCTGTGTGCGATAGGCCGAGCTGAAACACAGCGCGCTCCTCTTACAGGATAACAGAGGAACATATGTTTACTCTATATACTCTGATACGTTTTTGGTATATACGCGGATATGTTGATCATATGTGAACGATTGGCGTGATGGCTGAGTGCAGGCCTTATGAGTATGAGCTGATGTTAAACTTGTGAAATGTATGATGTTTGTTTTTCTTTCTCTTTAATTTACTTTATTTTTATTTTTAGTTAGTGTAGTTTGACCAATCACTAACATCTAACTACGGCAATACCAACCTAAACTGATAAATCCTAACTGGACAAATCCTGGCAACGCATTTCCTTGTCCCATGGATCGCTTAGTTCCATTCCCTGGCCATGACAAGAAGGAAGAGAAGATGTGAAGACAACTTCTGGACGCTCTGAGCCCAAGAGGCTATGCGCCCTACACCAAAACAACAACAACAACAACAACATTGAGTGAAATATCCATCAGCTGAGTGGTAAACATATGTTTACAGCAATTACAATTTTCATAATCGCTTTTGATTTTGATAATCGAATCTCGAATCCCTTGTTACCCTTGGTTACCCTCAGTTACCCTGTCTCACGTCAGAATCGTTGCAGAGTGAATAGAAAGGGCACAGGTTGTATAAATAAGAAAGGGTATTGGTATCAGTATGGATGAATAACACGGCCTTGTGAATAACCGTATATGTGAATAACGATCTTCACCCATTTCATTTGATGCGTGAAGATCATTCATTTGATTTGGTGCTGCTCCTTTGCTGAATATCAGAGCATCAGCACAGGATAACAATAAGGCACTGTGTTCTCTATATACCGTGCAATAAGGGAGGTATTTAGCGTTGATGGTTTCAGGTCAAGGTTGTGAATTGTGATGCAATGCCATGCTGCATGTCAATGTTGTTCGTGCTATTTTTTATTGAGTCTTGCTTTAAACTATCATTTGTATTATATTTTTATTGATCATTTCTTTCTATTTTCTTCTCTCAATGGTACGAAGAGGAAATGGCAGCAACACTGAGTCCGCCAAGAACAAGTGGCGATGGCATGGAGTCTGCGGTCAGCAACCGACCTGCTGACTGCCCACTGTTGGAGCCAGTGGAGCAGCAGATGCTGAAGATAATTACAGACCAGAGATTGCAGGGAGCATCTCTGTCTGACATTCTAGGAGATCTGGAGCTGGCCTCTGGTGTGGATCAACCAATCTTCAGACTGGCACCAGCCATTGAGCAGAGGGTCAGTTTCTGAGAGGGATATGGATAGAAGATTGTAGTTTTATTCATGGAACAATAGGTCTAAGAGCTTTTCATGGAATTGTCTACTAAGATGACTTTTAGCATCTAATTATTAATTTTATCAGTAGGTAGGTACAGCCCACCGCTAAAGTAATGTAGGGTTTTACCAATCTCAATGGTTGGCTTTGACTGGCGATTGTTTGATGCGGTGTGATCGAAAAGAAGATGTCAATAGCTAAAGTTGCAGCTGCAAGGGTGACGATACATATAAGCTACATTCAACGTTTCATTGTAGTCTGGCTAATCGTTCCTAAGCTTCAGAAGCAGAACATGCCCATGACTGAAACCGCACATTACTTCTGCTGTGGACTGTACCAAACTTACATGGCTTTATTTGGAAACATGTTGATAAACTTTCCAATGCTGTAGGAAAACATCTCACAGCCTTCTGAAGAGTCTTTTTCCTTGTGAATCATATCACAGGTTTATGGCTCAAATTATGCAGAAGTTAGACCATTAATGGATGCTTCTCACTGAGAAGTTATCAGCATGTCCTCTGTCCTTCACTAATAGTTGCTTTCTTTCCCTAGTCTGCTGCACATCACCCAGCCTCGAGAACCACTGCTGTGCCGGCGAGTCCCACGAGTCCCAGCGGCGGAGCGCGTGAGGCGCGTTTCGTCCCGTACGAGCCGTACCCCGGCTGCACCTCTCCTCTAACCGCCGGCGCTGCTGAGGCCGGGTCTCGCCCGGTCGAGTCGGGTCCCCGCCGAGTTAGCGGCGAGAGCGACGGGTCGGCGCCGTCGGTCGCGGCCGTGGCGGCGGCGGCGGCGGCCAGCGCTGCCCCAGTCGCGCCGGAGGAGGAGGATGTTCGCATCACGAAACTCCGGAGGGAGAAGGATGAGCTGCAGCGCGAGCTGAACGTCGCCATGGAGGTGGGTGATTATCACTTAACCCTATTAGTGGCAGGGGGGGGTTGTTTTTATCCACCCCTCAGGTTTTTCGGGAATATCTCCGAAACCGCTGAAGCTACGATGCTGAAATTTTCTGACTTTTCCTAAAACTAAATTGGGCACATTCCCTGAAAATTTCAAGTTCATAACTTTACCAGGGGCGGCTCCAGAGCACTGGGAATTGGGGGGTCCTATTCGTGAAGCGAGTCATTTGGGCGAAGATCACGATGCTGCACCAGTTTTACGAACAGTGAATGAAAGGTATCATGTGATAACATATACAAAGTTATTGTGCATCCTCTTTTGACACGTTTTTGCTATAATAGGCGGATCCAGGCGTCCAAAAAGGGGGTTATTTTTTACCTCCCAACATAGGTGCCCTGACACCGCCAATGCATGACCAATACAATTTTAGTCGTTCTCTCATAAGAAAATTGTAACATAACAAGACCATTGCCACCCTTTTTAGAAACAGTACCAACAAAAACCTTATTTACTATACTTTTTGTGTACCCCCTGTCTCAATGATCTGTATCCGCCTATGATTTTTGAAAATGCATATTTTTAGGATCCATGTGAATTCCTGGTTCATTCTCTATCGATCGGCAAAAGTTGCGTTAAGATTGGTTCAGAAACCTGGCCGTGATAAACAGTCTAAAATGTATCTGCAATTTGCCCGTTTTTACCCCCTCTACCCCCCTATTGACATTTTTTAATTTTTTTTTTAGAAATGTAGATCTCGTTGAGCCAAATCGAATGCCGTTTGAATTTTGAAAATCGGCCGGTTAGATCTCGAGATATAAAGGGGGGTCGTAAACAGCCCCCCCCCCCCCTGCCACTAATATGGGGTAGCCAGGAGCCTGCCACTAATGGGGTTAACAGCATCGGAGTCTGAATTACGTTATTAACAGTGGAGGCCCATTTAGCCTTGACTACACTGAGATAATAATATGTGTTTAAAATCGTCACGTTATTGATGATATTAATGTCGCACTTCACGCTTTCGCCGATATTTTTGGGGAAAAAACGTTAAAATCATTCAAAAGTCGCAATTATCTTGAATAATGTTGATGACATGTGACAAAGTAATTATTAGCCTGGCCGCAGCTAGCCTCCCCACCTACTCTCTCGGCCCTCCTTCCAATGACTCCATCTCCACCCCCAGGTGACGGCCGAGCTCAAGAAGCTGCTGGTCGCCTCGATTGGCGAGGACATCGAGTCGCGGCTACACCTGCTCACAGAGGACAAGGCCCACCTGGCGCAGCTGGTGCGCACGTTCTCGGCACAGGCCGCTCAGGAGGGCGAGGGACGTGACCAGCTCTCCATACAGTGCGATGTCTGGAGGTCCAAGTTTATGGCTTGCAGGTGAGGACGGTTGTCGGTCGGTCGGGAGGCTATTTAAGCGTAATTGGCCATTTGCACTACGCAACTGTCTACCGGAACCTATGTGAAATGTATTTTTTACTTACTGATTTATCCATATAGGATTTAGCAGCTGGGCATGTGGTTACTGCAGGAGCTACTGCAGTGTAGTAGCTCCTCCCGGGGCCTTGACTTGTAAATGCGAATTCCCTGCGATCGATCTGGTAGCTGAGGTAGCTAGCTGAAGGACGGTGCAGCCTGTGAGTGAGTGACTGACTGCACCCCCTCCCCTTCCCCTGCAGCCTAATGGTAGACGAGCTGGCCGGCTGGAAGGCGGTGCTGAGTCCTGTGACTGACTCTGACTCTGGCTCCCCCGCAGTCTAATGGTGGACGAGCTGGCCGGCTGGAAGGCGGTGCTCGGTCGCCGCTGCCGTGAGTCGGAGGCTGCCCTGAAGGCGCTGCTAGAGGAGAGACGTCAGATCGCTGACCAGCTGCGCGCCTCTGCCAGGTCGGTCCCCAGGCCCGTGTTACTCTCTCTGCCACGTTTCGTGCTGATAGTCTGATTTTATGCGCATTTCATACGATTTTTGCAGAGTTCGACAGTCGACCATTGGTGAATATAAAGTTACAGCTAGCCTGAATCTTTAGCATAAATGTTTTCAATGACTAATTTGGAATGATACTGTTGGTTATTTTGAAATAGTTTGATTCATGTTTATGATTCTCGTATGATTCGTATGATTCGTTCATGATTCGTATGATTCCTTCTCGTTCCCCAGGTCTCTGACCGCGGTGCGGGACGCGTTCGACCCTCTGGTGGCCCAGTCGGGCCGGGGCTCACCGGACGGAGACGCCGTCCAGCTGGCTGAGCGAGTGACCCAGCTCAGTGGAGCGCTGCACGAGCGTCTGCTGGGCCGGCCGCCGGCGCCCGCCCCGGCCCCCGGTCAGGGACAGACTGAGGAGTCGGCACAGACGCACGTACAGACACCCGCTGAGGAGGCGGCCGAGAAGGTGGGTGTGAGTCAGATGAGAGAGCCGTGGTGTACTGTCATTGGGCATGACAGAGCTGGAGCGACTGCGAGAGACGCACTTACTAAACTTCCTAGAAATTCAGTTTGAAGGCTTTGAATGAATGGATTGATAATGCCAGAACCGGCGCTTAGAGAGCTTGTTGTGGGGCTCCTGATCTTCGCCGTCTGATCGGGAAATTTCGGGTTGGGAGAATTCAGGGCGAAAGCTGCTAAAGCGTGCCTTTTACTCTCACTTAACGTTGAAATGTTGATTTCATTTCATTCGTGACTTTTGCTTTCACTTAACGTTGCAATGTTGTGTTCACTCCATTCGTGAATGTGAATGCTTGTGAATCTATTCATTCCATTAGTTGCGAGAGTGTAATCTCGGGATCGAATAGATGTCCCTACAAGTTTGGTTCAGCAGGCTACTGAATCTAGCCATATGACATGCATTGCAGACTGCTGAGTTTCAAGTACCCTGGTGGCCTTTAGTCACGTTACATCCCTGGCCTGCCGCTGGCACTACGATGAATGACTAACTCAGCCCCTGTTTCCGCAGCTGCTATCGACGTCGGCGTGTTACCAGTACCAGGCGCAGCGTGACTCCTGCCGGGACCGCGGCATGGCCGACCGGTTCCACCCGCAGGCGCGCCTCGAGCACCTCACCATGACGTGCTGCACCCACTGCAGCGGCGACATCTATGTGGTGTGATGAGAACCAGCGGTTGGCCGCGCCGCCGCTAACTGGCGCTGTGAACCCGACTCTCACCGGCCGACAAAAAAGGCGAGTCTGTTGAACTGTGCGTTGTGTCCAGACGAAGTGAGAATCGCTGGTTCTGTGGATGTGCCTATTCGTTGCAGCTAAGGAATTGTGCACAAGTTTGGTAGGGGTTACACCTCTCCCTTTGCTGGGTATAGATCATTTCACTTTTCAGACATTCTAGAATGATTTCGTGATGCATTCGTGGAAATGGCCGTCAAGTTATGCGTATGCTACTTTGGTTACGGGTGGAACCGTTACAAAAAAAAGCGAAAAAAAAACTTTTGGATCACTAAGAGAAGTGGCGATCTGGATTATGAAAGTAATGTTTCGTCCCAGACCCTGGAGGTCTGCTATGCAAGGTTTTGTACTGTCATGGGTTAGATTGGGTACGTAGCAGAGGTTTTGTACTGTCATGGGTTAGATTGGGTACGTAGCAGAGGTTTTGTACTGTCATGGGTTAGATTGGATACGTAGCAGCGGTACTTGTTATAGACACTGGGTCCGGAGTTGGGTAATAGACTTGAAACAGGGCTAGCTGATGTAATTATATCTGTATATTTTTTATGGGATGCGAGCATTTGCTGTCCTTAATTCTTATGCGTATGTAGACATATGTATGATAATATGTTAGGAACTCAGGCAATATTTATATATTAGTTCCTGAATTACTTAACCGTAGTTAGCATGCAACTTTGAAAGTGCTCAGTTCTGATGGGTAAAACAACAAACAAAGTTTTCGTTTTCCACAGGGTGCACTTAGGCTACGGGGGAGCTACCATTACAGTTATGTTATGCTTTAAGGCGATCCGAATGAACTTTTTGTTTATTTGATCATATATTTGTTATTTAACTGCAAATTTATTCAGTTTCATTGCATAGTTTTTTATATGTTATAGGTAAGCACGTCTTGTTTTGTTATCGAATGTTATGGGTTTGTGGTGTATAATTGTTTAGCACATTGGCAGGATCAAATCGGAATCTACTTAACATGCTCATTTTAGCGGGATCTTATATGCGAGCTCGCTCTGAGTACGACTTCTTTCGTAAGCGTGCGTGCTTTGACCGTTATTTTTTGCACGCATTGAATGGCACGGTGAACACACGAACAATATCACCTTCTGGCGGCTGTGATGAGCTTATATACCTACTGGATGTGATGTATGTGTCGGTCAGTTCGTCCCAGGTACGTTCCCTAACCAATCTCCGCGTACTAACTAAATAAACCCCTGTGTGCCGCGACTTACTGCTGTGTGAAAATGTGATGACTGTCGGCCGTCGTCAAATAATACACCGCGCGTGGTGTTTTGACGAGGGCACGTGACTGGAAATGCACAGTTTGTCTCGAATGCACCGGCCCGTATATTTATGTGGAATACATGGCTTTATCACGACATGCAAATACAATTGTTCCGAGACCTTTGTATTTTATCAAGTTTAGTTACGTAGTTAGTAATTTATTCAAACATGTTATTCAACCTCATTATGACGTCTTTCATTACCTCCATCTGTGTCTCGCCAATCGTAAACATTAAACGGAAAATCATGTAGTCCATCTCCCTCACTCCCTCTTCTGATGTCGCCTCAGGCATCCCGGGTGTTTTCCCTCCGTTCGACACAAGGGCGGATCTAGGGGAACGTTTTGGGGGGGGTCACCAGTCGGCCGACATGCCAGGTCTGATGAATGAATTCTGACGACCGGGGGGGGGGGGTAGGGAGCGAGTATGTCGAGATCAAATGACATTTGATCTTCGTCGTTTCTGAGTTGAAGTTTTATCGTAAGTCACTCGGCTCAGTAGTTTTAGTTAGTGAAACCCACCTATAGAGGAGCGTCGCCACGGATTTTTTTACTGGGGGGGGGGGGGGGGCGGATCGACCGACTTAAAAACCCAGAAGTAGTAGATATAGTTACCTCACTTATGCATTAGTCTAATGCCCAATGCATTAGTAGCATACAGTCACGATCTCTCTTATTGACCTGTGTATGAATCGGCGGCGCGAAGCGCCGCAAAAATTTGAAAAAAAGTTGTCAAAACACAGCTCTAAAACACAAATATTACAACCCTTTTAGCATGCTAGTACAAGCCGGAGTTCCTTCACAGTGCACATATGAATTCCGATTCAATTTGACACGGTTGGTGTTATTACAGTCACGATCTCTCTTATTGATTGGTGTATAAATCGGCGGCGCGAAGCGCCGAGAACATTTGCAAAAGAATGTGTCAAAACACAGCTCCGCTCCAAAACACAAATTTTACCACCCTTTTAGCATGGCAGTACAAGCCGGAGTTTCTTCACAGTACACATATGAATTCTGATTCAATTTGACACGGTTGGTTTATGTAATTACAGTCACGATTTCATATTGACCTGTACGTATGTACATGAATCGGCGGCGCGAAGCGCCGCGAAAAATTTGCAAAAACATTTGTCAAAACACAGAGGGGGTCTCCTCTCTACAGAGGACCACCGATCTCTACTGCGGGCCTCCTCTTTTCACAGGGCCTCTTAACTACAGAAGGCTTCCTCTCTACAGAGGGCTTCCTCTCTACTGAGGGTCTCTCCCTTTCAGAGGGCCTCCTTTACAGAGGACCTCCTCTCTTCAAAGAGCCAGAGGACCTCATCTCTGCAAAGGGCTTCCTCTCTTCAGAGGGCCTCTTCTCTACAGAGAGCCTCCTTTCTTCAGAGGGCCTTCTCTCTACAGCGGGTCTCCTCTCTTCAGAGGGCCTTCTGCATTCAGGCGGTCTCCTTTCCACAGAGGGTCTCCTCCACAGAGGGCCTCCTACCTACTGAGGAGTCAGAGGGGCCGACACAGACACTAGCGGTTATTCACTGGAGGCCCCAGGAAGTAAGAAGGGCCCTAGCTGTCAGGCTGGTCAGAGTGCCCTGAATGTCCTGACGTGATTTTTGGGATTCCCGTGAATTTCTTTCGCCTCCGACGTGATTTTGACCTGCCAGGGCCCAGGGGCACTAAAAATAAAACAAACAAAATAAAAAAATGGAAATAGGACATCACCAAAATTAAGTGGCCGAAATCCGTTGAGTTTTTAATTTTGCGTATAGGTAGGGGCACCACGAATTAAATTCATGACCATCCCCTTGGAGTTTTCCTGGATCATCCCCTGGTGCTCGCACGGTTGAGACAAAAATGAGTAAGATTCTGGCCTTCAATACGCCTTTTCACGCAACACGATCCAGAAAAACAAAGGTATTAGCTCAGAAGTGTTTGACATGTGATTTTGAGCATGCAAGACGGCGTCTATAGCGCATTTAGGTCTTCGGCTTTTGGGGGGGGTCAAATGACCCTCTCAGACCTTTTGGGGGGGGTCATGACCCCGTGGACCCCCCCCAGGATCCGCCACTGGTTCGACACCCTCCCCGTCCACCCCTACCGGCGGCGCGTGACCAAACAGTGGCATCCCGCGGCCGCCCGTGTCACGGGACACTCGAGCCTCGCGGCCGGCGGCGGCGGCCGATTCGCTGCCCATTAGGCGTCTGTTTGCCGTGCAATTTGCTGGGCGGCTCGGCGGGCCGGCCCGGGCGGCGGCGCGGCGCGGCGATCGATCTGTCTGCGCGCCGCTTTGGCCGCATCCTCCTGGGAACGGGCGCACCTGGAGTGAGGAGACATCGACCGTTCCCAGCGCCGGCAGACGCCATCTTTACCGCCGCCGCCGACGTCTCCGGCGGCTGCAGCGCGCGCCGAGGCACGGACAATGCGAGAATGTTCCGGAGTGCATGGTGGTTGGAGACTTAACATTCTAGCTAGAAAAATGTGGTGTTATCGCTACAAGTTTTTCACATCCTCCACGGGAGTGGCGGCAGTGCTTTGAGCAACACTTGATTTCCCTGAGCCGCTTCATTTTCATTTTAAAAAATCGAATAGCGCATGACTCATTTGCCCAAGGGCAAAAAAAAAACGGTGACTGTCAATTTCTGTGTAATCAGGCCATAGGCCTGTGTGAGTTTCCTGACATCAGTTTACCAAACTATAACCGATAGGCAAACGGAAAATCTGACTTCGAAAACCCACGGATTCACAGACGGATTTCAGCTTATCATCGGCACAACACGCTTCACGTTACCTACAGGTTCCACGACAAATCGACAAGTGCCCTGCACCCTCATATTTTATTTTTTGCTTAAAATTGGTCTTATGGGTTGTGATGGGCGGGGAAGCCAGCTGTGGCAAGGATTTTTTTCTTCGAACAACGGTTTCCGAGATATAGCCTCGGGCAATTCCTGGAGTTCGCGCTGCAGCTCTATGTTTGGCGGCCTATAACTCAGAAACTATTTGTTTTTTACGATAAAAACTTTATATGGTTCAACGCACAATCAACCAAAAAACATTTTGGTTATCTCGGATTTTCAATTTTTGAAAATTTTGATCACGTGACCTTTTGTCCTATTTTTCGAAGAGTGACCTTGATATTTTCCCCACTGAAAGTTGCAGTTTTGTCTGATGACGATTAAAGCCTCATCAATTGTCATTCATATGCGATAATAAAAAAAAGTGGTTATCGCCCTGCGTTGACCTCAGGTCAGGTCATTTTTATGACCTGTCCATTATTACGAGCGGGAGTGACAGCGAGATCTCGAGAATAAAGCAAGATAGCGACAAGCGGTAAACGGTAAAGGGTACACACGGATAAGGTCTATAATTTTTACTGAGGTCATTTTCAGGTCAGGTCAAAGATGACGTCACAGGAGCTAAAAGGAAGTCAAAATAGCGGCACTATACATATATATGAAGTTTTTCTCGAATAACTTTTAAGGTATCCCAGCTAGAAACAAACTAATAGCACCATCGTGATCCTCTCGTCGATCCGCATCGAAACATATGTATGTTGATCTCGAAAGGTCGAAAGGTCAAAAGTTGACCTTAGATCACGTGACCTAAGGTCAACTTTTGACCTTTCGAGGTCAAAATACATATGTTTCGATGCGGATCGATGAGAGGATCACGATGGTGCTATTAGTTTGTTCCTAGCTGGGATACCTTGAAAGTTATTCGAGAAAAACTTAATATATATGTATAGTGCCGCTATTTTGACTTCCTTTTAGCTCCTGTGACGTCATCTTTGACCTGACCTGAAAATGACCTCAGTAAAAAATATAGACCTTATCCGTGTGTACCCTTGACCGTTTACCGCTTGTCGCTATCTTGCTTTATTCTCGAGATCTCGCTGTCGCTCCCGCTCGTAATAATGGACAGGTCATAAAAATGACCTGACCTGAGGTCAACGCAGGGCGATAACCACTTTTTTATTATCGCATATGAATGACACTTGATAAGGCTTTAATCGTCATCAGACAAAATTGCAACTTTCAGTGGGGAAAATGTCAAGGTCACTCTTCGAAAAATAGGACAAAAGGTCACGTGATCAAAATTTTCAAAAATTGAAAATCCGAGATAGCCAAAATGTTTGTTGGTTGATTGTGTGTTGAACCATATCAAGTTTTTATCGTAAAAAACCAACAGTTTCTGAGTTATAGGCCGCCAAACATAGGGCTGCAGCGCGAACTCCAGGAATTGCCCGAGGCTATATCTCGGAAACCGTTGTTCGAAGAAAAAAATCCTTGCCACAGCTGGCTTCCCCGCCCATCACAACCCCTAACACCAGTTTTCAACGAAGAATAAAATATGAGGGTGCAAATTTAATTTTTTATTTGTCGATTTGTCGTGGAACGCCCCAGTAGTTACCTACCTCACCATATCTCGGTGTTTTGTTTCGCTAATCTCACCAAACAAAGCTCGTCGTTCTACAGTGTTTGCGTTTGATCTTAGTTTGATTGAGGAGCGACTCCTGCGACTGTGTGTCATTTCGCTAACAAAAGCCATGTGCCGTCTCAGAAACAGGTATGTCCCCGCGCGGCGAAACGTTGACATTGTGACCGATCTCAACACAGTAGCGCCTAACATCAGGTGTGTGATCAATTGCATCACCACGTGTAGGTAGGTATGAGATCAAGTTCTACGGCAAGTGTTTCACTGTTTCAGTGACCTGTTTGATTTCATGGTCAGTATTTTCATTTTTCAATGAGCGGAAGGAAACAACAATGCAGTTCTCGAAGCTTCCGCTGCCTACCGATTACATTTTACTAGGTCGTTCAATAAGTAAGGTAAAATGTACCACAGTTCATTTATATGAGGATTTCAAGCAAAATCAAATATGCCATCTGAATCTTTGGACAATTTTCTACACAACCTTTCAAACTGTTTTTGGGAGTTTGGCTCATTGTCCGAACACGGTCGGTGTGAAAACATTGATGCAGCAGAGTTCCGTTTTAAAAATCCCGGTTTGTCATGCGAGCCAAAATTCGCCTCAAAATGAGTGAGTTGACCCTGATGACGCTATTGCCATTAGCAATGCTTGCTGGTGAACAGCTGGTACGATTTCAACAAGGACACAGCATTGAAAAAGACTAAGTTCTAGAGCAGGTAGACTTGTGCCCGCAAGACTCTCTGGACTTGGCACAATCTGTAAAGTCGGGGGGCTGATTATGGAGACCTGAAGCATCTGTTTGACTGCTTAACAGGGTGAAGTGTGTATGTCGAAACAGTTCTATTCTAGGCATCATCAGATATGCTTGATATTTACAAGGTCATCACGATGTTAATGCAGAAAGAGCTCGCTGAACAACAGAAGGACGCCCAGCGAGGCATCAAAGTGGGATCGGCTTTGCTTTAGCAGTACAGGAAAGCTGAAGTAGGTACAGCCGTGATCTGGCGCCGTCCCTTTTGAATCTGTTTGGACCACCGGAGAAACCTGCTGTGTATGTTGGAATCTTAACTGATCAGGCAATCAATAAAATAATCAACACATGGCTTTGGAATAGCAGTAAGGAGTTTTCCAAGCAGGATTTCAACACCGGGTGGAGTGCTGGGATAAGTGCGTGCGCCTGAACGGTGATTGGATGTAGGTGCCAGTTCCGAAGGCTGGGGAGGCTGGCCGAAGAGACCTGCTAACAAATGCTAATAGCCAATTTATAGACGATATTTCAATGAACATATGTTGCTAGTTTTGTGTCGTTGCACCAAATGTGGACTGAAATACGTGTGATTTTACCTTACTTATTGAATGACCTAGTACTAGCGCATCCGCGGCCCGCGAGACGCTCGGCCGTCGGCAATTCTCTATTCCAGTGCCCATTGTCCAGCGGATGCACGCCGGCACAGCATACTTTCAGGAGTTCTTCACTAGTGCCATCTATCGGCAGTTATATAAGTGTGTCGGCGATACGGCTGTACTTTATTTTGTTGTCGTTTTTTATTGAGACCATTGGCTTGCGTCTGTGAAGATCATTTCAGTGTTGTGGAATTAGAGGATAACCGGATAAGGTAGACTCTGAAATGTCCTAATCACGTGAACTGAGTAGTACGCCGCAGCCCAAGTCGGCTGATCCCGTCCCGCCAGGTCAGATCCCAAGGTCAGTGCTCTCCCGGCATCCCCTGTGATGTCCCAAAGTTCACTTGCAGAATTACCAGTGCCGGCGAGATTTGTGGCTGATGTCTCTAAGATATCCAGGAGCCTGCTTCTATCAGGTTTTATATGGTTCAACGCAATAAATAGTGAGCTGGTTATCGTCGTTCTTTTACATTTGATGCACAGACGCGTCTATAACATTCCCGAAACTACATGTTATGGAAAGCGGTATGCATGTATTACCGGTTTGAAGAAGGAACTCAAAGAACCATGAAAAGCTCCCATTGACCGGTCAGCTATCCATACACATCTACATATATCGATTTCACTTATCGGGCCGGGACTTTTTCGTAAGCGTATCAGATAATCACATCTTAAGCAAATTAAAATGTACAAGTTGATTTTAAAAAAAAAACAGATAAACCTACCCGAACACCCGCAACCTGCGGCACAAAGAACTGCCAACCAATTGCACAATGACTAGACAAGAATGACCTTACGACCTTGCATGCCGATATGGAATGTCGGCGTCGTTGATAATTTACGCAACCCAGTAATGACTAACCCATCACAAGCTCTTCGAATATGTATCCCAGTGCCGTTTGCTTTACAAGCTACCCCACTGAATCCGGCCTCCTGACTTCAGTTTTAGGCTATTTACCCATCAGTCATGATGCTTGGAGCGATATTTACTCCTCGTCACAGTTCACACCACGTGTTTTCGATTGTCACAATGTCGGAATACACACATCTGGAACATCGAAGTTCATGCATGATATGTCTAAGAACTGCTCCGTTCCAGTTATACACTTTTACCATTCACATACACACTCGCACTACACTGATGAGCAGTCACGAACACAAGCCCGCGAACACAAACACTAGTTCAAGCCCCGTCCCAAAGCTCCCCAGTCAGGTCACTGTTCACTCGTCGAGAACTCGTACCCTTGGCCGAGTCCCACCATCAAACAGTGACAAAATTACCACTTACCCACCCTCCCAACCCCGCCTCACATCACTCGTCATTCCCCAGTGTCTTCCCGCCGGGAGGTGCCCTCCCCAGCCCGCTCGGACTCCCCTCACGCTCCGAATGGGAACTCTTCGAGCGGTTTGTCGCGCGGGTCCTCCGGGTGCCACAGTTTGGTGGTGACCTGGCTGTTGTTGTTGGTCAGCGGTCGCTCGTGAGACCAGGAGAGCGAGTGGCCGCGCAGTTGGCCACCATCTGCCGGAGCATAGGGCACGCGGGGTCAGGTGGGGTTTCACATGGGTCAGATTAGGTCGCACCATGTTAGATCATACTTAAAGCTGCTTGGGTAAAAACGGAAAATTGAGATATCAGCGGGATCGATGGAGGAGAATTCCTGAACTGCTTCATTTTCAACTTTTGAGGAAACGGCCACTGAATTTGAGGCGTAAAATGAGTATTAACAGGGTAGATAATGGATAACGTGATATCATGTCGACTTAGCGTAAAAAGGTTCACTCAAAGACAAAAGAAAAATCGGAGCATAGTCGATATAACATGGACCCTTATCTTTTTTACCTGTGCCACGCAAATTTTGCGAGTCACCACATGAGCAGCATCTGCTAACAAACGCACACAGCACGCTAGCGGGGCTACTGCCCACCCAAATATGCGCGTCATTCCGCCCCATGGACGGCCGTGCGCCGGCGGGGTGTCGCCTGTTGTCTGCCCGGCACCGACGGACAGAACAACAGACGAACTCGCCCCGCGCGACATATTAACGAGGCTTTAACGGCGCCCGCTATCGGCACACAATAACGACGTCATCAACTATTCACGAGTCAGCCAGGCGCCGTGTCCAATTTGTCCCCGCGGCGGCCGCGACGGCGCCCCAGGGTCGCGGAAGGCACAGGGGGTCATAGTATCGACAGGGGCCACCCGCTCAGAAAGAACTAGAACTAGAACGGTAAATAAATTGCAGCGCATGATTTACCGATTTTATTCACTTCACCATTTTATGCAAAATCCTGATGCTTGAAAAGCTACGCAGCTACCGCCCTCATCATGATGATTCATTTCAGATTTCTTTTGGCGTGTTGCATGGAACGTCTGCTCACATTCCCTGAAGGGCGAAGGTGGATACTGACCTTTTGACTGGAGGACGATCTTTTTGGGCGCGTCTCCGTTGAGTTTGTGCGAGGCGTGCTGGCCGTCGTCGGAAGAGATCATCTCGCCCAGGAAACTGATGTAGCCGATCGCTAACCGGAGCGTGTCCACCTGTCGGCGCACAGCGAAACGTTGTAATAGGTAGGGGAGAGCGGGGCCAGTTGAAACACGGGGTCAGATGAAACATGGCTTTATTTTCAACAGTATGCAACATATGGCGTTGCCGACACCACTGCGCATCCGCGCTCGACCACTTCCTTTGTCAACGGCGTTTGGGCGGCAAACGGACGGTAATTTTGATTTGACACTTGTTTTTGTGTTTTTGAAGGGCGTTTGGGAGTAATCGTTCTTATGAATATTTTGTGATATCTCATATACCTTTGTTTGCTGAAAGAAGAACTCCTGGCTCCGGAATAACACCTTATTTGGTCCTTCATTCAGCATGATGCCGTCCCTCCAGCTCGTTTGACATGTGCTTTACGGCGCGTGCAAGATGGCGGGAGCGGATGGGGTCAATTGAAACGCTTCTCTGAGGGTCAGTTGAAACAGGGCCACAGGCCGTTTCAATGGACCCCGGTGACCTTTGCAATAGTTATTGTTCAGGGGCTGTAACATTAAAGGAAATAGTCCACCTTTGAAATGAGCTTTTAAACTGAAATAGTAGTTTAATAAAGCTCAATTTTTGACCCCTTTTTCTCCAGCCTTTTGCTTGAAAGCACACTATAGCCTGAGATATTTCTCATTTTTCTCATCCGCCCATTTTACCACAGTCTACATAGACCCGGGAACAGGGGGGGCAGCGGGGGCGCTTGCCCCCCCAACTTGAGAGCCGAGGGGGCGGCGCCCCCTCAACATTGAGGCAGCGTGAAAGGATCTTTCTTCCCTTTTCCGGACTTCTTTCCTTCTTGTTTTCCATCTAAACATCATCACACGGCATTTTCCTAGCCATCTGAATGGTTTCTGCTGATACAGTATCGATTTCACAACATCTGCTATTGTCATCCCGCTTTGGTTTGGGCCTGGCCTTGGCCATGAGTTTGGCAGGCCAGATTTTATATTAGACCATTTTGAGAAAACTTTGAGAAATATATAACGTACAACGGTGGTAAAATCGTTGCTATAATATAGGTATAACACAGTTTACCCGCTCCGGGTGTGAGGGAGGGGTGTGGGGCAATGAGTGCACTGACGTGGCGCCCTCGGAAGGCCGGTATCTATGGGATTAAAGCTCAGCGACACTAAGGGCTTGTCTGATGCATTTGGTTATCGGTAGCACCCTCAGAATCACCGGCGTATAGGGCCCTCAGAGCCGCCGGTAAGGGGCCTTTAGAGGCATTGGTATGGGCCGCGATGCAGGTGCCGGTTCGGGCGCACAGAGGTGCTAGTGTGATTCTCTCAGAGGCGCCGGTGAGGGTCCTTACAGGCGTTGCTCTGGGATCTCATAGACGCTGGTGTGGAGCCGTTACAGACGGGTGTGGGGTCTTTAGAGCTGCTGACGCGAACCCTCTACAAACCAACAGGGGGAAACCCAACAGGAACTACAAACCAACCAGTGACCGGCACGGGGCCCTTAGGCCGGCAGAAGAAGTCTTGTGGGGTCCTTAGAGACCGGCATGGTACTGTCAGACGCCGGTGGGGCCCTCAGGGCTCAGAGTCACCGGTGTGGGGCCCTCCAAAGTTTCCAGTGGGTAGCCTTTAGATGCGCAGGTGTTGACTGTTGGGTCCTCAGAGCCGCCAATATAGGGCTTTAAAAGGCACTGGTATAGGCACTCAGAGTTGGGGGTGTGAAATGCTCAGAGACACCGGTGTGGGCCCTCATAGGCGCCGATGAGGGCCCCCTCAGTTGCCGTTATGGGACCCTCGGAAAAATAAGTGTGTGACCATCACAGGCGGGAAATGCCCCTAGAACTGGCCCCTCATAGGCCGGTAAGAACTCTCAGAGGCCAGTAACGGGCCTTTGGAGACCACCGAGGGGCCCTTAAAATCTGCAAGATTCCCTCAGAAGCCGGCGTGGGGCCCTTGTTGAGATTTTAGTGTGGTTATTTAGGGCCCATAAGGTGCACTAACGAGACCTATGAGGCCATTCTGAGTCGAAATATGGTCATCGTTAATCCTCAGCGGTCAAATGGCACCGCAGGTCCTCTCGGACCCGAGGGTCCCTTTCAACCCGATGGGTGGGGGGGGGGGGGTACGTGTCCCCTTATACCCCTAACTACGCCACTGCTTCATACCTATGCATCATGTCAGGCATTTTAGGCTCGCCCCCCCAACTTGAAAATCGTTCCCGGGCCCCTGACAGTCTATGTACTTTATGTTACCTATTATGAGGAACTTTGCACTTTTAGCTTTCCAACGACCTATTGAATGTAGCATTTGGAAAATTAAACCGGACAAAATATCTCCTTAACCCGCGCGGGGCTGGGGGGTAAATTTTACCCCCCCTCGCGAATTTTTGCGATATCTCAAAAACGGCGGCACGCAGTGCCGCCAAACTTTCAGTACCTTTTCTTACATCAATTTGACACGTTCCCTGAAAATTTGAGCGAAATCCGTCGGAAAATTTTTGAGAAATTGACGTTTTAGTGACGTCATGTTCGCCATTTTCGCCTCAAAAACGGCAAAAGTTCAAACGCCGCTAACATCTTCATTTTTAAAGGAATCAAGACGTAACAAAAAAAGGTTATACGTAATTATACTTTGTCTATCAAATGGCTATCTCGGTTTTTTGAAAATTTTGGATTTAGGCCTAAATTTTTACAAAAAAACTGATTTTTTTGGGAAAATCATTATAAAATCCAAAATTTTGAGTCTATCGAAAAAACCGGAATATATGTCAGAGAAGTGGTCTATGTGCACCAACATACCTAATTTTAGAAGAATCGGTTAAAAAATGTGGGAGTTATTCAAAATTTTATGACGTCACGACACACAAAATTTTTGAAAAATGACTTTTTTGGAAGTTCTAGACCTCGTACGGAAACAAAAATAGCACCATTCGATTCGCCGTGAAAAACTGCATCAGATAGACACCTTTTTAGGCCTTAACAACCAACTTTAAATTTGACCTCACTCAGGGGTGTCGTTTTCCGAAAATGATTGGTAGTGCCCAAAGGCGGCGGACGGCCATATATGACGGGGTAGGGTACCCCCAAATCTGCCTTTCTCATCGAATTTCGGCCACTTATTTTCCCGCTTTGGTCACTGGCAAGACAAATTAAAATATGTTTTTGAAAAATATTGGAAATCTAGGCCATTACCGGACCCGATGCACACAACGTGCAGTTATAAAGGCACTATTATAGATAGTGTCAGTGGAACACATGCCATTTTGAAAGAGGCCCATACCGACTAAACAGCACGGTTGCGCTGAAATGGGCAGCCGGCAGGAAGGCTTTGAGGGCCCACGCCGAATGAAGGGTTCGATAACAGACTAACGAGATATCGAAACACCACGATAGTTAGAAAGACCTGATTGATAACATAAAAGGATGTGAATTGGATTATGAGTTGAGTTTTCGTGATCTGATGCGTTAAGGACCTGCCGTTGGACCCTGAGGAATCAGGGTCAGTAGGACCTACTCAAATAAATATGGCCTACATATTCTGGAGCATCGTGGCACCCTCCAAAGTTGACGTAGAGCCTTCAGAGGCTGGTTTTGGAGACGGACCCTATTAGGGCCGCCGTCGCGCGGTGTGCGACGCTCAGAGGCATCGATGGCCCGTCTAAAACCACTGGTCTTCGAACCTCTTGGTATCCACCAAGGACTTGAGCCCAAGACACGACACCTCATTTCCAGATTCATGTGCTTACCGTGGTTAGAACCTTAGATGTGTAGGTATGTGCTTAGTTGCTTTTTTATTTTCCTTTTTTATCAATTGATGGCTGACAAAATATTGGTAGGGCTCAGGGAACATTGGTAGGGCCCAAATAAACATTGGTAGGGCTCGAGCCCTACCAGGCCTATACAAAACGACACCCCTGACTTGTGGAGTAAGTCTATAGATTTTCATCAATAGTTACCACTTACCATTGAAGTTACTTGCTATCATGTTGATTTTATACATAAGAACCTCATTCATTTTATTTGTATGACATGTTTGAATGCAATTTTCTCAATAAGTGAAGAAAAATGTTGGTAGTGCTCAACAACACATTGGTAGTGCTCAGCTGAACATTGGTAGTGCTCGGGCACTCCCAGGCCTATACAAAACGACGCCCCTGACCTCACTTGACCTGACCTTGACCTGACCTCGACCTGAAATTCATCCAGAGGTGGTCCATATCACTTATTGAGTGTGCCTATTTAATTCTATGAGTAAAATGACCCATAAAACATGTGTCGCACATGCCCTTTTCTATATTTTGTTTTTTGGTGACCTGACCTGACCTGACCTTGACCTTGACCTCTGAATGATATTGTATGCAACGAATATTGTCTTGGTAGCCTAAGAACACGTTTTGGGCGATCAGTCTCAGTCCATGACTCCATTCTTCGGCAACTACAGGGTGTAACGAAATTATCCGGACATCTTTCTTCGCGCTGTAATTAAGAAGCAAGACATTCTGATATTTTGCCTTTTGAATTATTATATAGCCACCTTTCATAAGCGCGCAGGTACAAATTTTTGGAGCATTCCAGCCACTGGATTTTCCAGCACAGTGGGTTTCATATAGAGTAGCGCCTTACTAACCTGTGCCCACAGTTGGCCGGCGCTGGTGGCGGGTGTCCCCTCATTCATCTCCTGATGGACAATAGTCCATAAGATATCGATGGAATTGCATGGGAACTATTTCCAAACCATAGCCCTTTATCCCAGAAGAAAAATAGGTCCTCTCGGCATCACTTCTCATTCTGCTAGGGACTTGAAGGTGGTGCGCCGCCCCGCATGAAGACTGCGCGGCTTGAATCAGGCATCGGTACACGTTCAGAAACCGAGCCCTCCTGTGCCGTCTGGTTGAGTGGCTCCAACCAATCGCTAGCCAGGATGTTGCGCCGGTAATACTCGTCACTGATAGTGGTTTTCTGTGTCGTCATGAACAGCTTGAATATTACACAGCAGCTGAACATGCTCCAGGTCTGGATTTTGGCCGGATGTTTGACGCCGGCGAC